ATGCCATCACAAATCTTCAATAAAGGTAAGTAAAAAGTGTTATTTTATGTTTATTTAAATTTATTAATACATAATTGAACACTATATTTGCTGTGTGTATGTAAAACTATAATTAATCTCTATAAAATGTATTTTTTTTGAGAATATTTTTGGGTTTCTGGAACGGATTAATTTTATTTCCATTATTTCTTATGGGAAATATTGCTTCGCTTTTCAGACTTTTCAAATTTAGAACTAACTCCTGAACGGATTAAGTTCGATATTTGAGGTTCCACTGTATATGGAGAGTAAAAGAAAGGTGAAGTGAGTGCAAAAGGAGAGCAGATGACAGAGTGGGAGAGGCGCTGTCAAGAAATTTTAATGAAAATAAGAAAAAATTTTGGAGTGAGTTAAACAAGTTTAGAAATCCTAGGGAATGAATGGATTTGTCAGTTAAAAACAGAGAAGGGGAGTTAGTAGATGGGGAGATGAAGGTATTGGGTAGATAGCAGGAATATTTTGAGGAACTTTTAAATGCCAATGAAGAAAGGGAGGTGGTAATCTCATGCATTGGCCAGGGAGGTATACCATCTTTTAGGAGTAAAGAAGAGCAGGATGTGAGTGTGGGGGAGGTGCGTGAGGCATTACGTAGAATGAAAGGGGGTAAAGCAGCTGGGGGAGATATAGTGTTAGAGTGGTTGGTATTTTTGTTTAATAAATATATGAAACCTAGGTAGTAGGTTGGTAGACAGCAACCGCCCAGGGAGGTACTACCATCCTGCCAAGTGAGCGTAAAACGAAAACCTGTAATTGTTTTACATGATGGTAGGATTGCTGGTGTCCTTTTTTCTGTCTCATGAACATGCAAGATTTCAGGTACGTCTTGCTACTTCTACTTACACTTAGGTCACACTACACATACATGTGCAAGCACATATATACACACCCCTCTGGGTTTTCTTCTATTTTCTTTTTAGTTCTTATTCTAATTTTATTTCCTCTGATCTCCATGGGGAAGTGGAACAGAATTCTTCCTCCGTAAGCCATGCGTGTTGTAAGAGGCGACTAAAATGCCAGGAGCAAGGGGCTAGTAACCCCTTCTCCTGTATAAATTACTAAATTTAAGAAGAGAAACTTTCGTTTTTCTTTTTGGGCCACCCTGCCTTGGTGGGATACAGCTGGTGTTGAAAGAAAGAAGAAAATGTATGAAACAGGGAAAGGTATCTAGGGATTGGCAGAGAGCACGTATAGTTCCTTTATATAAAGGGAAGGGAGACAAAAAAGATTGTAAAAATTATAGAGGAATTAGTTTACTGAGTATACCAGGAAAAGTGTACAGTAGGGTTATTATTGAAAGAATTAGAGGTACGACAGAATGTAGGAATGCGGATGAGCAAGGAGGTTTTAGAGTAGGTAGGGGATGTGTAGATCAAGTGTTTACATTGAAGCATGTATGTGAACAGTATTTAGATAAAGGTAGAGAAGTTTTTATTGCATTTATGGATTTAGAAAAGGCATATGATAGAATGCATAGGGGAGCAATGTGGCAGATGTTGCAAGTATATGGAATAGGTAGTAAGTTACTAAATGCTGTAAAGAGTTTTTGTGAGGATAGTGAGGCTCAGGTTAGGGTGTGTAGAAGAGAGGGAGACTACTTCCTGGTAAAAGTAGGTCTTAGACAGGGATGTGTAATGTCACCATGGTTGTTTAATATATTTATAGATGGGGTTGTAAAAGAAGTAAATGCTAGGGTGTTAGGGAGAGGGGTGGGATTAAATTATGGGGAATCAAATACAAAATGGGAATTGACACAGTTACTTTTTGCTGATGATACTATGGTTATGGGAGATTCTAAAGAAAAATTGCAAAGGTTAGTGGACGAGTTTGGGAGTGTGTGTAAAGGTAGAAAGTTGAAAGTGAACATAGAAAAGAGTAAGGTGATGAGGGTATCAAATGATTTAGATAAAAAAAATTGGATATCAAATTTTAGAGGAGGAGTATGGAAGAAGTAAATTTTTTTTTTTTTTCAACAAGTCGGCCGTCTCCCACCGAGGCAGGGTGACCCAAAAAAAAAGAAAGAAAATCCCCAAAAAGAAAATACTTTCATCATCATTCAACACTTTCACCACACTCGCACATTATCACTGTTTTTGCAGAGGTGCTCAGAATACAACAGTTTAGAAGCCTACACATATAAAGATACACAACACATCCCTCCAAACTGCCAATATCCCAAACCCCTCCTTTAAAGTGCAGGCATTGTACTTCTCATTTCCAGGACTCAAGTCCGACTATATGAAAATAACCGGTTTCCCTGAATCCCTTCACTAAATATTACCCTGCTCACACTCCAACAGATCGTCAGGTCCCAAGTACCATTCGTCTCCATTCACTCCTAACACGCTCACGCACGCTTGCTGGAAGTCCAAGCCCCTTGCCCACAAAACCTCCTTTACCCCGTCTCTCCAACCCTTTCGAGGACGACCCCTACCCCGCCTTCCTTCCCCTATAGATTTATATGCTTTCCATGTCATTCTACTTTGATCCATTCTCTCTAAATGACCAAACCACCTCAACAACCCCTCTTCTGCCCTCTGAAAGAAGTAAATGTTTTCAGATATTTGGGAGCTGACGTGTCAGCGGATGGATTTATGAAAGATGAGGTTAATCATAAAATTGATGAAGGAAAAAATGCGATTGCACCACTCGCATTTTTTCCTTCATCAATTTTATGATTAACCTCATCTTTCATAAATCCATCCGCTGACACGTCAGCTCCCAAATATCTGAAAACATTTCCTTCTTTCAGAGGGCAGAAGAGGCATTGTTGAGGTGGTTTGGTCATTTAGAGAGAATGGATCAAAGTATATGTGGAGACAAAAAACGTTATCTATGGAGGCAAAGAAGGGAGTGTATGAAAGTATAGTGGTACCAACACTCTTATATGGGTGTGAAGCTTGGGTTCTAAATGCTGCAGCGAGGAGACGTTTGGAGACAGTGGAGATGTCCTGTCTAAGGGCAATATGTGGTGTAAATACAGTGGACCCCCGCATAACGATTACCTCCAAATGCGACCAATTATGTAAGTGTATTTATGTCAGTGCGTTTGTACGTGTATGTTTGGGGGTCTGAAATGGACTAATCTACTTCACAATATTCCTTATGGGAATAAATTCGGTCAGTACTGGCACCTGAACATACTTATTGAGTGAAAAAATATCGTTAACCGGGGGTCCACTGTATTATGCAGAAAATTTGGAGTGTGGAAATTAGAAGGTGTGGAGTTAATAAAAGTATTAGAAAGAGGGCTGAAGAGGGGTTGTTGAGGTGGTTTGGTCATTTGGAGAGAATGGATCAAAGTAGAATGACTTGGAGAGTGTATAAATCTGTAGGGGAAGGAAGGCGGGGTAGGGGTCATCCTCGAAAAGGTTGGAGGGAGGGGGTAAAGGAGGTTTTGTGAGTGAGGGGCTTGGACTTTCAGCAAGCATGCATGAGCGTGTTAGATAGGAGTGAATGGAGAAGAATGGTATTTGGGACCTGATGAGCTGTTGGAGTTATTTCTATGTAGCCGGACTTGAGTCCTGGAAATGGGCAGTACAATGCCTGCACTTTAAAGGAGGAGTTTGGGATATTGACAGTTTGGAGGGATATGTTGTGTATCTTTATACGTATATGCTTCTGAACTGTTGTATTCTGAGCACCTCTGCAAAAACAGTAATTATGTGTGAGTGAGGTGAAAGTGTTGAATGATTATGAAAGTATTTTCTTTTTGGGGATTTTCTTTCTTTTTTGGATCACCCTGCCTCAGTGGGAGACGGCCAGCTTGTTAAAATAAAAAATTTAAAAGAAGTGCTGGGGATATTTGTTGTTTAGAGGGTCATCTGAAATGTTACATCTGCATGCCTCTGGCAAGACAGTAATAGTCTGAATGATCGTGAAAGTGTTTCTCTTTCAGATCACCCTGCCTTGGTGGAAAACAGCCAGTGTGTTAAAAAATGTAAAAGGAAATTAAAAGTCAACAAAGGAAAGATCAAGGTGATGAGCATAATAAAAAAAAAATCTAGGTAATAAAAGATCGGATATCAGACTGGAAGGAGGGAGTATGGAGGAAGTGAACGTGTCCAGATATCTGGTAGTGGACCTGGTGGTGGATGGGTCTACGAAAGACAAGGTGAACTATAGAATTGATGAGTGGGGCAAAGGTAGGTGGTGCACTGATGTATCTGTACAGACAAAAAAAAAAAAAATCCATGGAGGAAGAAAAGGGAATGTATAAGAGCATTCTGGCACCAATACTCTTGTATGGGAAGGGTTTGGGATATTTGCTACTTGGAGTGACATCTGAACTGTTGAATCTGCACGCCTCTGCAAAGTGATGTGTGTGAATAATGGTGTTTTTTTTTTTTTTTTTTTGGAGGGGGGGGGGGTCACCCCTGCCTTGGTGGGAGATGGCCAGTGCTAAAAAAAAAAAAAATCCGACTACAAAGTTTATGCAATCAACAGTTCATTTGGTCACCTCAGGAACAGCATGGGCTAGCTCATTTGGTGAAAGAGGTTACCAAGCAGGGAGAATGGGAACAAAGTAAAACTGTTCTCTAATGGTAAAAATTCCTTTAAGTAAACAGTTGCTATGCAAGAGGAGATTATTTTACAAGGTCAAAGAACTGATATTATATTAAAAATACTGCTGGAAACCATAAGAATGACAAATGTAAAAAGCTTCTAAATCACTATCATCAAAACAAGAGAATGCCCTTTATAAACTTAAAGATACAGTATGCTGCTGTGGAGAAGCCTTCGCCTGAGATCAACAGCACACACAAACGAAATGAGATGGGGATAGACTATGTCTCAATAGTGTGAATTTTATGTGAAAAGATTATCAAGTTGATCAGCATTCCTTTAAACACATTCTCTTTAATTATACAACATTAAGAATTCCTAAACAAAGATTAGTTACATGTACAGCATCATATAGTATTACTAAAATTATCAATAAATAATTGTCAATTTTGAGATACCATGAAAGTTCTGTGCATGAAGTAGTGCCTGCCGGTATGGATTTCTTGTAGTACGATCAGCTGTATAGTGGTTGGCAAGCACCAAAAGCAGCAGTACACTCTGTGAGGCTAAAGGAGATTCTGGACCTTTTTTACTTGAGTCTTCTCCACTTCCAACTAACCCCAAGGTCAGCACATTCCATAGTCCAGCTGAAGAAGAAGAGCAATGTAAGATAAAAAATTCAATAGAAAATACACAAATTCAACATGTACTGTGCTTGTAGATGAATGGTTCAAAGAACCGACATGTTAAATTAGACACATGTGCAACTCTTGGGTATCTTTCTTGAGGAAACGTTTCGCCACACAGTGGCTTCATCAGTCCATCAATCTTGATGTATTGACCACATCGACTCAAGGTTGAGGGACTGATTACCTCATTCTCCTCCTGTTCTTCAAGTTTATCCTTTGTATGGACTGATGAAGCCACTGTGTGGCAAAACGTTTCCTTTCGCTTACTTCTTTGTTCTCATAACTCTATGAATCTCCCTGTTTCAGGTAGAGGGCCAATACTGAAAGAGAATTTGCCTATATGAAAAAAAAGTATTTATTATTCTTCCTAATTTTTGGATGTATTTTTCTTTTCTTTTTTCTTTTTTTGTACTTCTGTTGCCAGGTACGAGAACTTTAGTCTTCTTGTGATATTTTGCTTTTTTTTTAAGCAGTTCAGAAAGTTTTTTGTTCCTTCTTCTGTAAATTTGTTTTACTTTCTCTTCCTATCTTCGATTTCCTAACGAGAGGCCAAATGCTCATTGTTACCCCCTCATGAATTTTTGGTTTGAGTAGGTGTCTAAAGGTTTTATCTTATCTGAGGTTATATCCATCCAATCTTGATGAGAAAAAGGATTATTTACAAAATAGAGCAAAAGATGGCAATTGTAAGTAACTGTTTCATGCCTGGTGCATATTTTTTTTTTTTTTTTTTTTAGCTGGGTGAAGTACTGTGTAACTAATGTGGTGTGAAAATACTAACAATGATAAATTCTATCGAAGTAGAAAAAATACGATTGTGTATTTAACTGATCTTTATATTATCCATATTCCTGTTCCCTTAATAATGGATATGCAAGTGCCCATTATGTATAGAGTAATAATATGATTTCAACAAGCTACCATTGTTGTAACAATGTAAACATAAGTCTACTACAGGAACATACAGGCTAATCCAAGTACAACGCTGCCACCTTCAGATTTAACAGGCTGCTTGTCTTGGGCCATGAAACGCTTTAACAAAGTCTTGACAAACAGACAGGCATGAATGGAAGCACGACCAGTCATTAGCATTCTGTAAGAAATATACAAAACATAATTCTAAGAGAATTTATTCTACTATCCACAAGGTATATTGCATATGAAGAAACAAGAGATAAATTTAAATTAATCTTTACAAACATACAATCTTAAATTTCTGAAGCCAATTTCACAAACTAATATATTAATAGCACACACTGTACTTTTTGAACTTAATGTAGTATATCATATGCCACTATTCATGTGCAATATGGTATGACTGCTGCAAAATTAAATTTCATGATGCTTAACAACATGATCATCATAGATGTTCACACATACTTGAGAATAGTTAGGTAGCACAGCTCCCCCGATGCAAAGACCAAAGCTGATGTGAGAACTAAGAGTGTGGTTGTGGCTTCATGGTGAAGGGAGTATGTGAGGTCAACCAAAGGTACATCCACTATGATTTCAACTAGGCTTGTCACCAGATCCTCCACTAGATTTGAATTATCTTCTGGTAATGTACCTGATTTAATTAGCAAAGGCATTAATAATCAATTTAAGGTTGTCTTCCATGTAGGTTTTAAATACACACAACAAAACAGATGTCAACTAAAAGGCATTACTGTACTGAGTTCTGGAGCAAGTACTGTAAATGCATTTTTGTTGTTGTGGAAAATAGATAATAGATTAAAAGCAATTGTACTATGCAAGCTATATAAATACTGTACAGTAATGCAGTGATTATTTTTCACCAAGACATGGTAGCCTGCAGAAGAAAAACACATTCACTATCACTTTCTTCCTAACAGCCTCTCTAGCAGCACAGCCATCATGGTCCAATGTTGACCAACCGAACAGAAATGCCTTGATAAGACTTTCAAAGTACAGTCACTGTACTTCCTACCTCCAAAGTTCAGTTTCCTTGAATCTTTTCCTATTTTAATGGTCACTCCAACAGCATGTCAAATCTCAGACCATTTGTCTTAATTTACTTCAGTCTAGCAAACTAACATATGCCTGCTGGATGTTCAAGTCTTCCAAATTCTCCTAACAACCTTTACCTTAGACATTCCAAACATCTCTGTCCACTCTCACTATATTTACACATCCTTTTAATCAACCTCTCTTGCTCACAAGTAGAAGAAGGAACCGTTTTACAGCATTTCAGTAATACAGCAGTTTTCAATTATACCCATTCTTCATAATAAATATACTCACCACTCACAATAAGGTATATATACATTTTTAGGTAGTAGGTTGGTAGACAGCAACCACCCAGGGAAGTACTACCGTCCTGCCAGATGACTGTGAAACAGAAACCTGTAATTGTTTTGTATGATGGTAGGATTGCTGGTTTCTTTTCTCTCATAAATACGCTAGATAACAGGGATAACCTTGCTACTCCTACTTACACTTTGGTCACACTTCACAGACACGCACATGCATATATATATATGCATACATCTAGGTTTTTCTCCTTTTTCTAAATAGCTCTTGTTCTTCTTTATTTCTTCTATTGTCCATGGGGAAGTGGAAAAGAATCTTTCCTCCGTAAGCCATGCGTGTCGTATGAGGCGACTAAAATGCCGGGAGCAATGAGCTAGTAACCCCTTCTCCTGTAGACATTTACTAAAAAAGAGAAGAAGAAAAACTTTATAAAACTGGGATGCCTGAATGTGCGTGGATGTAGTGCGGATGACAAGAAACAGATGATTGCTGATGTTATGAATGAAAAGAAGTTGGATGTCCTGGCCCTAAGCGAAACAAAGCTGAAGGGGGTAGGGGAGTTTCGGTGGGGGGAAATAAATGGGATTAAATCTGGAGTATCTGAGAGAGTTAGAGCAAAGGAAGGGGTAGCAGTAATGTTGAATGATCAGTTATGGAAGGAGAAAAGAGAATATGAATGTGTAAATTCAAGAATTATGTGGATTAAAGTAAAGGTTGGATGCGAGAAGTGGGTCATAATAAGCGTGTATGCACCTGGAGAAGAGAGGAATGCAGAGGAGAGAGAGAGATTTTGGGAGATGTTAAGTGAATGTATAGGAGCCTTTGAACCAAGTGAGAGAGTAATTGTGGTAGGGGACCTGAATGCTAAAGTAGGAGAAACTTTTAGAGAGGGTGTGGTAGGTAAGTTTGGGGTGCCAGGTGTAAATGACAATGGGAGCCCTTTGATTGAACTTTGTATAGAAAGGGGTTTAGTTATAGGTAATACACATTTTAAGAAAAAGAGGATAAATAAGTATACAAGATATGATGTAGGGTGAAATGACAGTAGTTTGTTGGATTATGTATTGGTAGATAAAAGACTGTTGAGTAGACTTCAGGATGTACATGTTTATAGAGGGGCCACAGATATATCAGATCACTTTCTAGTTGTAGCTACACTGAGAGTAAAAGGTAGATGGGATACAAGGAGAATAGAAGCATCAGGGAAGAGAGAGGTGAAGGTTTATAAACTAAAAGAGGAGGCAGTTAGGGTAAGATATAAACAGCTATTGGAGGATAGATGGGCTAATGAGAGCATAGGCAATGGGGTCGAAGAGGTATGGGGTAGGTTTAAAAATGTAGTGTTAGAGTGTTTAGCAGAAGTTTGTGGTTACAGGAAAGTGGGTGCGGGAGGGAAGAGGAGCGATTGGTGGAATGATGATGTAAAGAGAGTAGTAAGGGAGAAAAAGTCATATGAGAAGTTTTTACAAAGTAGAAGTGATGCAAGGAGGGAAGAGTATATGGAGAAAAAGAGAGAGATTAAGAGAGTGGTGAAGCAATGTAAAAAGAGCAAATGAGAGAGTGGGTGAGATGTTATCAACAAATTTTGTTGAAAATAAGAAAAAGTTTTGGAGTGAGATTAACAAGTTAAGGAAGCCTAGAGAACAAATGGATTTGTCAGTTAAAAATAGGAGAGGAGAGTTATTAAATGGAGAGTTAGAGGTATTGGGAAGATGGAGGGAATATTTTGAGGAATTGTTAAATGTTGATGAAGATAGGGAAGCTGTGATTTCGTGTATAGGGCAAGGAGGAATAACATCTTGTAGAAGTGAGGAAGAGCCAGTTGTGAGTGTGGGGAAAGTTCGTGAGGCAGTAGGTAAAATGAAAGGGGGTAAGGCAGCCGGGATTGATGGGATAAAGATAAAAATGTTAAAATCAGGTGGGGATATAGTTTTGGAGTGGTTGGTGCAATTATTTAATAAATGTATGGAAGAGGTGGTGCGTTGAGGTATATGTGGAGTCAAAAAACGTTATCTATGGAGGCAAAGAAGGGAATGTATGAAAGTATAGTAGTACCAACACTCTTATATGGGTGTGAAGCTTGGGTGGTAAATGCAGCAGCGAGGAGACGGTTGGAGGCAGTGGAGATGTCCTGTTTAAGGGCAATGTGTGGTGTAAATATTATGCAGAAAATTCGGAGTGTGGAAATTAGGAGAAGGTGTGGAGTTAATAAAAGTATTAGTCAGAGGGCAGAAGAGGGGTTGTTGAGGTGGTTTGGTCATTTAGAGAGAATGGATCAAAGTAGAATGACATGGAAAGCATATAAATCTATAGGGGAAGGAAGGCGGGGTAGGGGTCGTCCTCGAAAGGGTTGGAGAGAGGGGGTAAAGGAGGTTTTGTGGGCAAGGGGCTTGGACTTCCAGCAAGCGTGCGTGAGCGTGTTAGGAGTGAATGGAGACGAATGGTACTTGGGACCTGACGATCTGTTGGAGTGTGAGCAGGGTAATATTTAGTGAAGGGATTCAGGGAAACCGGTTATTTTCATATAGTCGGACTTGAGTCCTGGAAATGGGAAGTACAATGCCTGCACTTTAAAGGAGGGGTTTGGGATATTGGCAGTTTGGAGGGATATGTTGTGTATCTTTATATGTGTATGCTTCTAGACTGTTGTATTCTGAGCACCTCTGCAAAAACAGTGATAATGTGCGAGTGTGGTGAAAGTGTTGAATGATGATGAAAGTATTTTCTTTTTGGGGATTTTCTTTCTTTTTTGGGTCACCCTGCCTCGGTGGGAGACGGCCGACTTGTTGAAAAAAAAAAAAAAAATGGAAGAGGGTAAGGTACCTAGGGATTGGCAGAGAGCATGCATATTTCCTTTCTATAAAGGCAAAGGGGACAAAAGAGAGTGCAAAAATTATAGGGAAATAAGTCTGTTGAGTATACCTGGTAAAGTGTATGGCAGAGTTATTATTGAAAGAATTAAGAGTAAGACGGAGAATAGGATAGCAGATGAACAAGGAGGCTTTAGGAAAGGTAGGGGGTGTGTGGACCAGGTGTTTACAGTGAAACATATAAGTGAACAGTATTTAGATAAGGCTAAAGAGGTCTTTGTGGCATTTATGGATTTGGAAAAGGCGTATGACAGGGTGGATAGGGGGCAATGTGGCAGATGTTGCAGGTGTATGGTGTAGGAGGTAGGTTACTGAAAGCAGTGAAGAGTTTTTACGAGGATAGTGAGGCTCAAGTTAGAGTATGTAGGAAAGAGGGAAATTATTTCCCAGTAAAAGTAGGCCTTAGACAAGGATGTGTGATGTCACCGTGGTTGTTTAATATATTTATAGATGGGGTTGTAAGAGAAGTAAATGCGAGGGTCTTGGCAAGAGGCATTGAGTTAAAAGATAAAGAATCACACATAAAGTGGGAGTTGTCACAGTTGCTCTTTGCTGATGACACCATGCTCTTGGGAGATTCTGAAGAGAAGTTGCAGAGATTGGTGGATGAATTTGGTAGGGTGTGCAAAAGAAGAAAATTAAAAGTGAATACAGGAAAGAGTAAGGTTATGAGGATAACAAAAAGATTAGGTGATGAAAGATTGGATATCAGATTGGAGGGAGAGAGTATGGAGGAGGTGAATGTATTCAGATATTTGGGAGTGGACGTGTCAGCGGATGGGTCTATGAAAGATGAGGTGAATCATAGAATTGATGAGGGGAAAAGGGTGAGTGGTGCACTTAGGAGTCTGTGGAGTTTGCCTGGAATTTACCTGGAGAGAGTTGAGACAAAGAACTTTGTCCCTGGAGGCAAAGAGGGGAATGTATGAGAGTATAGTTTTACCAACGCTCTTATATGGGTGTGAAGCATGGGTGATGAATGTTGCAGCGAGGAGAAGTTTGGAGGCAGTGGAGATGTCATGTCTGAGGGCAATGTGTGGTGTGAATATAATGCAGAGAATTCGTAGTTTGGAAGTTAGGAGGAGGTGCGGGATTACCAAAACTGTTGTCCAGAGGGCTGAGGAAGGGTTGTTGAGGTGGTTCGGACATGTAGAGAGAATGGAGCGAAACAGAGTGACTTCAAGAGTGTATCAGTCTGTAGTGGAAGGCAGGCGGGGTAGGGGTCGGCCTAGGAAAGGTTGGAAGGAGGGGGTAAAGGAGGTTTTGTGTGCGAGGGGCTTGGACTTCCAGCAGGCATGTGTGAGCGTGTTTGATAGGAGTGAATGGAGACAAATGGTTTTTAATACTTGACGTGCTGTTGGAGTGTGAGCAAAGTAACATTTATGAAGGGATTCAGGGAAACCGGCGGGCCGGACTCGAGTCCTGGAGATGGGAAGTACAGTGTCTGCACTCTGAAGAAGGGGTGTTAATGTTGCAGTTTAAAAACTGTAGTGTAAAGCACCCTTCTGGCAAGACAGTGATGGAGTGAATGATGGTGAAAGTTTTTCTTTTTCGGGCCACCCTGCCTTGGTGGGAATCGGCCAGTGTGATAATAATAATAAAAAAAACATTTTTAGGCCCAGCTCTATTGCTCACTTAATAGATGATAGTGTAAATATGTTTGTTATCAGGCTTTTACATGCATTTGAAAGTAATAAAAAGGCTATGATTCACTTTACGGTGATTTTCACTTTTCAGCGGTAACTTGGAACCTAACCTGCTGTATAAGTGAGGTCCTCTTGTAGTGTGGCACAAGGATATGTACTTGCCCCAATAATATTTTTAATTTATATTGTGTACTGTAGCTGATTTACCAGAAGCAATAAACATGAAGTTCTATCAAAAAGTTCCTGAACTCAAATTATATGAATATGTTTGCAGATGATACAAAAATATTAGGTACAACAAAATTGATGGCAAATCTCTACAGAATGACTTGGGTAAACTGAACAAACAGTGTGATTATGGAATCTAATATTAATAAATGCCATGTAATGGAAGTGAGAGAGTAAAATCAAGGTACATGAAGAATATATACTGTGATAAAATATTGAAAGTATCAGAGAAAGAGAGCTCTAGTAACAATAAAACTGTCACTGAAAGATCATAAAAAACTGAGAAACTTTTATACTACTTTGGAAAATTATAAAATAGCTTTTAAATATATAGATGGAGAAATGCTAAAAAAAAAAAAAAAAAAACCTATTTACAACATTTATTAGGTCACAGTTGGAATATGCAGTGGTGCATGCACACGGGCATGCGCGCACACAAAAAAAGGGATAAGTTAAAAAAAAAAAACAAGAGCCACAAAATGACTATCAGAGTTTTAAAAAAAAAAGTTACGTTAAAAGGCTGATAATACTAAGATGCCCCTGCTGGCTGATAGGAGGGAGAGAGGAGACGTAACCATATTTTTCTTTTTTTTAACTTCATTGGCCATTTCCCATCAAATTAGACTGATGTAAGATCATAAAAGGACATGAGAGATTAGACAGAGAGAATATTTTAGTACCTGCAGAAGAGATAACAAGAGGCCATAGTTGTAAACTGAGGAAAAAGTGGAAATGAAAGGATACTAGAACCTTTTCTTCACAGTAATAGATCAATGGATTGAATTAAATGATGATGTAACAAGTGCTACAACCATTGGAAATTTAAGAAAACTTGTATATAAATAAATTATTGAAGCTGGGATACCATGAGTATAACTCTGTAACTGTAACTACAAACAGACAAGAAATAGATAATTACGTAACAATCTGTTAGCTGATACGATTGCTTACTCTAGTTTTTCTTGTATGTCTCACCTTCTGTGGATGGTGGAGGTGTCTGCAGAACTTCAATTACTTCCTCTTCTGACAAATGTTGCACAAGTAACTTACATACACAACGAACAATAAAGAGTGCATTGTATGCTTGCCATGTGAACACACTGCTGTAGAGAAAGAACTAGATGTCATGGGAATAATCATGATAGAGTATTGCTGGAGTATTACTATTAAAAACTATATACAGTATACAGCACAGTAAATGCAGTACATAATTACCATAAAACTGTTTTGTCAGACATATACACAAGCACTACCAGTGGCTTTCCTTTAGCTCATCACTTACTTGTCACACTGTGCTGATGCTTTGAGCTCAGTTGCTCTGGAAAGGAACACACGTATGAGGGCTGCAACATTACCACTGGTTGCATGGTTTTGCAGAAGTTCCATGTAAAGCGATGTCACAGATTCCTCCAAAAGACGATGGTCTGCACTGTAATTTACCATCAATAAACAAGGACGTATAATTTTTTTTCGACAAAAAAAAAAAAAAAAAAAAAAAAAAAAAAAAAAAAACAAGGTAATACAGAGTAAGTGATGGAATAAAAACAGATGAGGCTGTCACACTAACTGGATAACTATGCAATCTAGTCAGACATGAGAGACACTGATTACAACTCGTCATACATTACATGTACTGAATTTAGAAGTTCAAATAACTAAAAATACATTCTTAATGTGGGCGATGATAAAATTAAGCATTCTAATTAAAATACATGTACAGTAGAACCCCCCATATCCACAGATTCAGTTTCTGTGGTTTCAGTTAGCCACGGTTTACTGTAGCCTGAAAATAACCTTTAATTTTGCTTAATAATGACCCAAAACACAAAAGTAGTGATGCTGACAGTTCTTCAAAGCTTCATAGAAGCCATGAAATGCTTCCTAATTCCTGACTTATTGTGAATAATTTATTAGTTCATCTTTATCGTAGGTATGTATGCAAACGAAAAAATTATATAAAAGGTTCACTACTGTCCGTGGTTTCGGGCATCCACAATAGGTCGTGAATGTATCACCTGTGGATATGGGGGGGACTAATGTATAAACAAGATTATCTCTACTGTATTCCAAATGTGAAAAGTTTGAAGAATTTACATTTAAATGTATTTAAGGTGCTTGTCAAGTTTCTTTCTCATAAACTTATAAAAAAATTAGCAAATCCATTGGATATCAGACTGGAAGGAGGATGTATGAAGAAGATGAATGTGTTCAGATATTTGGGAGTGAACTTGTCAGCAGAAGGGTCTATTAAAGGCAAGGAGAACCATAGAACTGACATGAGAAAAATGTGAATGGTGCATTGAGGCACCTGTGCAAACAAAAGAATGTCAATCATGGAGGCAAAAAGAGGAATGTATCAGAGTATAGTGATACTAACATTCTTATATCGGTGTAAAGCATAGGTTATGAATGTTACAGCAAGGAGGAGGCTGGAGGCAGTGGAGATGTAGTGTTTGAGGATAATGTGTAGAGTGAATATTATGTAGAGAATTTGTAGTTTGGAGATTAGAGGAAGGTGCAGGGTTACTAAAAGTATTATCCAGAGGGCTGAGGAGAGGTTGTTGAGGCAGCCTGGACATTTAGTGGAAGTAAGGCAGGGCAGGGGGTCATCCTAGGTAAGGTTGGAGGGAGGGGATGAGGTTTTGTATGCGAGGGGCTTGATGTGAATGCAAGAGGTTTTTATGATAATGTGCTGTTGGAGTGTGAGCAAGGTAACATTTTTGAAGGGATTCTAGGAAACTGGTTAGTTGGACTTGAGACCTGGAGGTGGGAAGTACAGTGCTTGCACTCTGAAGGGAGGGGTGGGGATACTGCAGTTTGGAGGGGCATCTGAACTGTAGTATTGACACACTTCTGGCAAGACAGTAATGGAGTGAGTGACAGTGATTTTTTTTTTTTTGGTCATCCTACCTCAGTAGATGGCTAGTGTGTTAAAAAAACCCATCCTCATCTTTCCAGTTTAGAAAATTAATATTCGGCAATGAAATTCTCTAAGTAGCCTAATATAATGAATCCCTAACATATTAATAAACAAAATTCTTACCTTGTATCTGGTATAGAAAATGTGAATGAGAGGAGTTGATTCCAAAAGGGATCATTAGCAGTAATGACTTCTGTGCTGACGAATCTCTTAAGATACTGGTTGGAGGCCAGGTCACTAATACTGCTGCTACCGGCCCCCATTTTGGTAGCTTGTCAACTCCCTCAATATCTCAATTTTGTAATGTCACACTTTTAATATCACAATTCATTATACAATCTGAAAAATACAAGATGTATTACTAAAATTCTAAAGCAATTTTATATCTATGTATATCTATCTATATCTCTCGTGCACATGCGCACACACACACACACACACACACACAAAAGAAAAAATATTTATATACATAAAATATAAATAAAATTCCTGCACCCTTAGTTCCTAAGCTTTGCTGGACCAATAGAGATCAAATAATAATTCAGCAATGCACCTCTAACTCAATAATTACACAACTGTGTCTCTAAAGCACCATGAACTATTAGAAACTTAAACTAAGCATTAGCATAAATGAGAGGTTTATTAAATAGTGTACGTACTTACAAAGAATGTTGCACATGTAGTGTGCAAAAACTGCTCTTAAAGTGGTAAATTTCTAGTGTTTTACTGGAACTAGAGTGCTTATTACAAAGGTCAAGTTGAAGGTTGTTAGGATTAATACCTGTTTCAAGGTTGACTTTCATCATGGATTTGTGATGCTACAGAGGAGGGGCACAAGTGGGCTACTTGAAAGTGAAGCCATATAATTTTCAGATGTAGGCCTACTGTCATGACACATTCTTCTTGGCTAACTTTTTTAAACATTTCATTCAGGAAAAGTTGTGTCATGTGCTTTGATTGTTTTTTACCCAGTGTAATTTTTCATGCATTAATAAAAATTGATCAGCTCTTGTCCTGTGATGTTGTTCTAGCCCTTGGATTAATTCACCTGACAACTCAATTAACTTATCAATATCTATGACTATTGACAAGTTAATATAGCTATAGCTTGGCTTAAATGTTAGCAAAATATGCACAAAATGAAGGGATCACCACCAATAACTGGAGTGTAAACAATATAAGTCAGCATGCACTACACAATGCTATTTGTGGGTGCCCTAGTAATTTTGCTCAGGCTAAAAGAGGTGCCAGACCATCTAGTGCTGGAAAATCAGTGCTGTACTTGTATATGTTATTTGCAACATTAACACTTGTTATGGAGAAGCCTTGATATTGTGCTATGTACACCAATATAAAAAAAATATGGATTATGATAAATGGCTGTAAACACTAAAGATGCCTACACTGGTTAACAGGTACAAAAAAAGATATAACATACTAGTCTATGAACAATGTACAAGATTAAGTAAAGATGTTTTAGTAATGTACCTTCAACAGACATAACAAGAAGCCACGGATGTAAATTAAGAAAATATGGGAGCTGCAGGAATACTGGGAAAGTTTTCTTTATAAAAAGTGTGGTGGAAGAATGGAGCAAATATGAAGAGAAAGTAGTCAGTGCTACAACTACTGGAAATTTAAAAAAAATGAATACATTAATGATGATGGTATACCACAAACATAGCTCTGCTCCTGTTACTACAAATACTTTAAGTGTTGTATGCAATTTCAGAGCCCTGTTGGGATATTTGCTATAGTATACTTAGTATACTACAGCAAATATATTTGATCCATATTTTCATGTAGGATGAAGGTATGAGTCTTAAATAATCACATAAAATGCAGAGCATTACTGGAAACATAACATGACATATTTGAACCTGGAATAGGTAGGTAGCTGATTACTTATTCAACTGGCCACTCCAGAGGATAAAACAGAAAGTATGAGATATTAATACTGGTTTTCACTCTATCAAAATCAAAGAAACATGAAATAAATAGGCAGTGACTGCAAATTCTTGTGTCATTTACACCTTGTATGTTTACTGCTTATTTAAGAGATAAAGATACAAAAATACATAAGATACAATTTTTTCAAACAAAGGTCTTGAGGGCACATACATGTTAAGAGTCCATAAAATAGAACATTACATAGATTTAATGCATTATAAACCAATACAGTCAAACACTACAACTTATTTCTATAGGGGTCAATACATTCCTAGGAGCCTCAGAAGGCAGAACACTGAAGTAACAATGCTGCAGAAATAATATTTCTCACTTTAAATACTGTACGTATATGCTGCTTTTGGAATAGTCAATGTGTAGAAAGAAAAAATAGTCCTTCACCAACATCAAGGAAGCCACCTTGAAGGAATGTTCATTGCAGTTTGTGCTTTGTGTTATTTGTGATTTCCCTGATATTATCTACCTATCTATATTCACCTGATAACTGATTCCCAGGCTACTCTGACCAGAAGTGCTGCTATAACTACCATGGACCTTTCCTTTTTGTTGATCTCCATTATAGCCGATTTCCATTTTCGTTGACTTTTTTCGTCGATATTTTGGCTCCATTTTCGTTGATCGTACGGAACCTATCCAGTGCTCAGCACGCATTCTCCCACACGTGTTCTCAGGCAGTGTCACGCTGTTTCTCAGTGAGTGAACATATCCTGCCAGGTCATGTGAAACATTTTGTAATAATCCATTGTTTTTGGCACTTGTTTATTGTGTGTGACTGCTAAATGAGCCACCATGGCCCCAAAGAAAGCTCCTAGTGCCAGTCCTTTGGTAAAGAAAGTGCAGAACACTGTATAAATGTAAAAAGAAATCATACAAAAATATGATAGTGGCATACGCACTGCTGAACTCGGCAGGATGTATGGGAAGGCACCATCAATGATCAGCTCCAATGTGGTAAAGAGAAAAGAAATCATGGAAGCTGATGTTGTGGAAGGGGTGAATGTGATAAATAAACAGAGATCCCAAACAATTGAAGAAGTGGAGAAATTGTTGTTGGTGTGGATCAGAGAGAGAGAGAGTTAGCAGGAGATAGTGTTGTGCAGTCGATAATTTGTGAAAAGGCATGGCAGCTGCATGGCGATCTCATAAAGAAACTGCCTGAAATGAGTGCTAATGTTGGTGAATTTAAGGCCAGCAAAGGCTGATTCGAAAAATTCAAGAAGCGAAGTGGCATACACAGTGTTGTAAGGCATGGTGAAGGTGCCAGTTTTGATAAATAAGTGGCTGAAAAATTTGTGTAGGAATTCAAAGGTTATGTAGAGGCTGAAAAATTCCAACCCCAACAAGTGTTCAATTGTTCTGGAAGAAAATGCCAAAGAGGACCTACATCACACAGGAGAAAAAGGCACTCCCAGGACATAAGCCTACGAAAGACAGGCTAACTCTCTTGTTGTGTGGTAATGCTAGTGGGAATTTCAAAGTGAAGCCTTTACTCATGTATCACTCTGAAAATCCCAATGTTCAAGAAAAACAGTGTTGTCAAGAGTAAATTGTGTATGATGTGGAAGGCTAACAGCATGGCATGGGTCACTAGGGAAATTTTCCTGGAATGGTTCAATGAAGTGTTTGGCGCAAGTGTGAATACCTCCTGGATAATAAATTGCCACTCAAGTGCCTCCTGTTAATGGACAATACTCCTGCTCATCCTCCAGACTTGGAAGACCAATTGTCTAAGGAATTCAGTTTTGTAATGGTGAAGTTCTTGCCCCCTAACACAACTCCTCTCATTCAGCCCAGCAGATCATTGCTGGGCTGAATCACTGGACCAGCAGATCACTGCAAACTTCAAAAAACTGTGCACCAAAGCAATGTTTCAAAGGTGCTTTGACATAACCTTGGACTCTGAATTGACCCTAAGAGAATTCTGGAAGAATCACTTCAATATCTTCCACTGCATAAGCCTTATAGATAAGGCTTAGCAGGGAGTGACTTCCAGGATGATGAACTCTGCTTTGGAAAAACTGTGGCCAGATTGTGTCCACAAGAAGGATTTTGAAGAGTTTGAGGCTGACCCTGTCGGCCCTACCCCTGTTGTGCAATCAATTGTGGCATTGGGGAATTCCATGGGATTGGATGCGAGTGGCGAGGATGTGGAAGAGTTGGTGGAGGACCACAATGAAGAGCTAACCACTGATGAGCTGAAAGAACTTCATCCGCAACAGCAACAGACTACAACTCAGGAAATTGCTTCAGAGGCAGAGGAAGAAAGATGAAAGAAGGTGCCTCCTTCAAAGATTAAGGAGATTTGTGCAATGTGGACTAAAGTGCATTCATTTGTGGAGGAACATCACCCTGAGAAAGTTGTTGCAATCCATGCTGGGGACTTTTACAATGGCAATGCCATGTCCCATTTTAGGCAAATCTTATAGAGATGCCAGAAACAGACCTCTCTGGACAGATATTTTGTGTGACAGGGGTCCAGTGACTCTCAAGCTGGTCCTAGTGGCATTAAAAAACAAAGGAGGGAAGCGACCCCAGATAAGGACTTGATACTTAGTGTCCCTATGGAGGGGGATTCCCCTTCTAAAGAATAACCTCTTCCCTCTCCCCTCCTCCCTGTCTTTCATCCAGCAACAACAGCCATCAATAAAGACAAGTGTCATGTTGAATGTTCATGCTTTTGTGCATGTAAATCTATCTATCTTTAAGGTAAAAAAAAAATTTCTTAATACTTCTGAGTGTCTGGAATGGATTAATTGAATTTACATCATTTCTTATGGGGAAAATGGTTTCGGTTTTTGCCAATTTCCATTTTCGCCGATTGCTCTGGAACAGATTAAACACGAAAACTGAGGGTCCACTGTATTCAACTATGTTGAGTTGGCTTTTCTATTATTATCCCCTGCTTATAATCAATGCTCAGTTGCTGTGAATTTTTTATTATATTTATGACTGGGGTGCTACACTGTACGGAACATACAGCAACAGAAGGCAATGAAGGAAATCAGGTTCAATGCAAGGAAAGGGAGAATTCTTGCAATGTTAAAATATTTATACTAATTTTTTTATTTGATATGTTCATTTTGACTGACTTTTGAATATCTAAGGGCAGAGACTAGGATGGCATATATTGATGCTTTTGTAAAGATATATAGTTTAGAAAACTGACAAATCTATAAGTAAGACACATGCAACATTACCAAGTTTATTCGGGTATAGGTACACTTAAACACAGTTATACAAATTATCATACACAGCAGCATATGTGTAGATTACACTGGAAAAAAAAATGAAGACTTATTTCAACTGGGGCATTTTTATTATGCCAGTTAGTGGCTTCCTCAGTCAAGTACAGAGAAGAAAGGTGGAAGATGAGTAGTTTGAGGTAATCAGTCACACAGCCTGGAGTCGATGCATTTATTGACTCCAGGCTGAGGGACTGATTACCTCAAACTCCTCCTGGTCTTCCACCATTCTTCTCTGCACTGGACTACGAAAGCCACTGGCTGGAAAAACATTTTTCTAATAAAGATACCAAAATGTTGCACAAGTGTTTTAATCGTCAATTTATAAGGATAAAACTATATAAACAAAGGACCCACATAGAAAATAGTCAATGCTTGACTTAATTGCAATATCCTTTGTTATGCATAAATCTTGTTAACTGATGCTGATAACTAGTTAAAAAAGACCTGAGCAAACAGCATATTTAACAGAAAACATTTCCGTCCTGGAACCTTGATTATATTTAACACACAGTCAAGAATGATAGTATATATAGGTATAAGAGTGAGGTGAGAGTCAGGTAGTGACTGATAATGTGTAATATAAAAGCACTGCAAAAAGAATTACATTTATGTTGGAGTGGCAAATATTATTGCACTCACGGGGGAGCGCTAAACTAGCAGGGGAGAGCGACAATGCCTAGGAGAACTAGAGACATTCAGGTTCAACTCAAGGAAAGGAGTGAGTGAAGTAAGTTTATTTAGGCACAGGTACATATAAGTACAATTATCATACATTGTATAAATTACGTAGGATAAAGAAAAAAAAATGTCAAAGTGACTTATTTCCATTGAGATTCCTTGAAAGGACAAGATCCAATTCTCTGGATCAAGAGCCCCTCACCAGCACAAGGGAGCCTTCCCTGAGAGGAGAAGTGATAAATAAAAAATAAAGTTACTTAGAGAGTAATGTAGTAGTGTTGACTGCCTCCAGCTGAGTGTAAACACGTCGACTGCTGCTGACGTCACAACAACAACACTACAAACCTAATTATTATTTACTATTATATACTATTATGTACGTATTAATGGGGTAATCTCTAAACCTGTATGGGTCATAAAGCACCGGGGGCACTTAGAGATAATTTGGTTTGGTTAGAAGGGGAGGGAAGCCTTAGTTGCTTGAGTTAGGAGATTTCATTAAAAGGACCCCAGTGGAAATAAGTCACTTCGACTTTTTTTTTTAGGGGGGGGGGGGGTTATCCTAGTTAATATACACTATGTATGATAATTGTACTTATGTCTACCTGTGTCTAAATAAACTTACCTAATTATTTACTTAGAAAAGCACTTTCCTCAAAAACACTACATACCTAATACCTTTATATATATATATATATATATAATATATATATATATATATATATATATATATATATATATATATATATATATATATTATATATATATATATATATAATATATATATATATATATATATATATATATATATATATATATATATTATATATATATATATACATTGAGATTGTATATATACAATAGTGGTTTGCAATACAAAGAGAGCCTCTATTATGTCTAGGCATTATGGGCCAACTTAACATTGTTGACTTACATTCTACTTAACACTAAGGAGTAGTATATCATAGTTGTACATTAAAATGGTATAAAATACCGACAGGTTGTTAGGTAAGACACATATGCAACAGTTAGGTATCTTTATTATGAAACGTTTCGCCTACACAGTAGGCTTCTTCAGTCAAGTACAGAAAAGTTGATAGAAGCAGAAGATACTTGAAGACGATGTAATCAGTCCATCAAAACTTTAAGGGTGATGGACTGATTACATCGTCTTCAAGTATCTTCTGCTTCTATCAACTTGACTGAAGAAGCCTACTGTGTAGGCGAAACGTTTCATAATAAAGATACCTAACTGTTGCATATGTGTCTTACCTAACATATCATAGTTGTACAGTAGGACAGTAATTATTTCATAGTTGTACAGTAGAATATTAATTATAAATGAATCAAAATTTGTATAATACAAAGATATATTTATATTCTAAAATGTTTTTGTGAAAACAATGATTCGATTATATTCCTGTCAACAATGGATAAAAGGTTCAATGTGATTGTTTCAGTTATGATGTGGGAATATATAGGTGAGTAAATATATACTGAGTATTTAGCATTTAGTCTAGGGTGATTAAGTGGCTTTTGAGAAGAGTCTTAAATTGATTTTCAGACTGGGTTACTTTAGTAGCTTCTGGTAATGAATTCCATATTTTGGGGCCCTTTATGTGCATAGAGTTTTTATACAGTGTGATATGGACAACAGGTATATCAAAAACATCTGTGTCTTGTGTTGTGGTCATGTATTATATATTAAAAATGAAAATAAAAAATACATACGAAAACACCTAAAAAAATACACAGTATTGCAAAGCGATGTTTTTGTACGTTTTTAATATTTTATTTTCACCATTTTTAAGTGTATGGGTCATCATGTTTGATCCGAGGAAGATGAAGCTGGACCAGGCCAAGATATGAGCATTATTAACCTTAAAACTAAAATACAAATTGTTTATTTCCAGAAAAAAAACAGCAGATAATGACAGTGACAATGATAGTGACAGTGACAGTGACAATGATAATGATAGTGACAATGATACAGTGACAATAATAGTGACAGTGACAGTGAGTGACAATGATAGTGACAATGATACAGTGACAATGATACAGTGACAATAATAGTGACAGTGACAGTGAGTGACAATGATAGTGACAATGATACAGTGACAATGATACAGTGACAATAATAGTGACAGTGACAGTGACAATGATAGTGACAATGATACAGTGACAATAATAGTGACAGTGACAGTGACAATGATAGTGACAATGATACAGTGACAATGATACAGTGACAATGATAGTGACAGTGACAATGATACAGTGACAATGATAGTGACAGTGACAATGACACAGTGACAATGATAGTGACAGTGACAATGATAGTGACAGTGACAAGGATACAGTGACAATGATAGTGACAATGATACAGTGACAATGATACAGTGACAATGACAATGACAGTGACAATGATACAGTGACAATGATAGTGACAGTGATACAGTGACAGTGATAGTGACAATGATAGTGACAGTGACAATGATACAGTGACAATGATAGTGACAATGATACAGTGACAGTGATAGTGACAATGATAGTGACAGTGACAATGATACAGTGACAATGATAGTGACAATGAGAGTGATAGTGACAGTGACAATGATACAGTGACAATAATAGTGACAGTGACAATGATACAGTGACAATGATAGTGACAGTGACAATGATAGTGACAAAACTGATATAGGAATAGCTGACATATTTAAACAGACAATAAAAGAAGCCTGGCTAGAGTATTTCAGGCAGAAATAATAATAATAATAATATAATAATAATAATAATAATAATAATAATAATAATAATAATAATAATAATAATAATAATAATAATATTTATTTCTACAAGTACATGATAACTTATACAGCTCATAATAATAATAATATTATTATTATTATTATTATCGAAAAAAGAGCGGTAAAACCGTGAGTGAGAGATGAGGTGAGGAAGAGTGAGGAAGGTCAGGTCAAGTCACTTGTGACCTGACCTCACCTCCCGTCATCATCATCATCTTTCACACACGGATCCAATGTGAAAAATAATGAAATCTATTGGAATTTCACTTATTTTTCCACTGGCTATTTTGCATATCGTAATATTACCTGTTTACTGTTATTGCATTTAAGTACATAATGTTAGTACACATTATGTAGAGATTATACTGGACATATCATATTGTATAGATAATGTTATTATACATTTTTTTTTTGGTTTAAGCATGAGGTTACTATGTTTACCTGACATTTTTTTTAATGGTTATTCATGGGATAAAAATACTGAGTGTTTGGGTATGGCGAGGAATGGCAACCGATTATTTTATTAAATTTAAAGTATGGACCACACGAGTCATTAAGGCTACATGTAGCCTGTATACCACCAGCCGGGGATATCTTAATGTTTAAAATAGTGATTAAAGTAAACTCTCAGGGTTTATATACCTAGAAAAATAAATTTCTAGGTGTATATTACCTTGAGTGGTAACTTCCCGGCGCATGGAATATATATCCCCCATCCGTATATACGAATCTTAGTGCCTTGGAGGCATAGAGCTGTATGCATTGCCGTAAAATGGCTTTAATGATATTTTTTTAGTAACATTAGGTTCTTCCGAGAGTAATGAAGGGTGTTGAGCGGCGTGTGTCTGAAGACTTAACGTGGTAGTCCCTTTGTCGACGGCCAGGAGGGAGGCGCGTGGTGGAGCTATCTAGCGGGGGTTATTATTTACCTGCCTAACCTCGTGTCTTTTTTATACTGGGGGTTGTCCATAGGCAACAGCACACACAACGTCATTTCGCAAGCCCTTTTGTGAGCGATTTATGTGAGTGCATCGCTGGATAAATGTCAGAATTGAAGGCTGCCAGTCCACAGCCACCACCGTGCAAGCGCCCCCGCCTGGAAACTGCTGTCAACGGGAGTACGGTAAGTCTTAATATCCGCCTCCTACCTTCTTATTTAACCTCTTAATACAGCCCTTCATACGTTTGGTGCTTCGTGGGGTTCACAGTTTGTTTTTCGGGTGGGTAGTTGCCCCAGGAAGGAATTAGGGATGCGTAATTTTGGGCGTATAATTGAAGGTTGTGTGGAGGTGGTATATCATGCACCGCGTCCAAAAATATATCCTGCCACGAAATGTTACACTAACTTGTATGACAGCTGGAGCCTGCAGGTGGCCTTATGTGGCTGGCAAGTCTTCTATGACCTGTAAGACTGCTCAGTGTTAATATCTGGTAGTCAGATCACCTGAAGCAGAACACAGGACTGTTACTGTTCGTGTAAATAAATTGGTTTACTTTATTGCTAATGTATCTTATTATTGTAACTGATTTTCACTTGGTTAAGTCACTTATTATTTAAACCTTAACAGTTTAAAATAACTAAGATATTACAAGGACCCCAGTGGAAATAAGTCATTGACTTTTTTTGGGTTATCCTGGGTAATTTACACTATTTATGATAATTGTATTTGTGTATCCGTACCTAAATATACTTACTATGAACTTTGAAAATTATTGTATAATCTGCAATAAAAAAAAACTAATTTTGAGTTTAGGGTCTTGATTGAACAAATCCTTTATTTTCACATCTATAATACAAGGAATCTAACCACAGCCCAGCAAAAATTGTTGTATATGCAGATTATTATTTTGGCGAATATTAGCAACACAACTTTTTTTGGGGATGTTTATTTTTGTTTTTTTTTAAGTAAAATATATGGTTGAAGGGACCGGCCAGTCAACCAGTCAGAGGTTATTTAGTCATGCATCTCGCTGGCCACTGAAGTGAACAGTTCCAACACGTTAAGTCACGTTTATAAAATTGCTCACATGCAGTGTCCAGAATATCTTGCTGCAAAGTTTGTCAAGGCTGGGAAGCAAAACAAGCACAGTACTAGGACAAAGGAACACAACTTTGTAGTGCCCATAGTAGGTGGTCAGGCTTCAAACACCTTTTATTGTACAGCAATAAAGGAGTGGAATGGACTGCCTTCACATGTCGAAGCCTATCCTAGCATGAGCCAATTCAAGAAGAGAGTCTAAAAGGTAATTAATGAATGAAGCAACAGAAAGGGAGGAGAGTAATTTCTTGTATAGCTAACATGTACCCATTACTGTGATCTGATTCTCTTTAAATGTTAATGTAAATTAACTCAGTTTACCTTATTCCTAGTATATCTCCTTGTATTGTTACTGCTTTTCACATAGTTGTTACTTAGCATTTTTTAACTGGTAATATCTTACTTAATTCTTAAAAGGACCCCAAAGGAAAAGTCATTTTGACTTTTTTTTGGGGTTATCCTTGGTAACTTACACATGCTGTGTAAGACAATTTATGTAACTGTATTTGTGTACCTGTACCTGAATAAACTTACTAAACACTCAGAGCAAAGTCTCCATGGACTAATGCATGTAAATTAATATTTTACAAAAAATTTACAACTTTAGTAGGCAAGATGAACATGTTTGAACTACACATTGATGATTATGAATGTCTTAATGAATACTTGCTAGGTTAGTATCACGTTATTGATGAGATATTACTAATAGGTTTTGTTTTCTCGGTTAGGTTGGATTTCGTTGTATCATGTTGGGCTAGGCTGGCTGCAGTATTTAAGTGTTTTTCTAAATATTTATTCTCAAAACATACCCAAAATGTGTTTTTGGCAGTTTGCACAAATTAAAGCCACTTCCATTACAGTGCCCCGTAGCCTGGTGGCTAAAGCTCTCGCTTCACATGGTGAGGGTCTGGGTTTGATTCCCAGCGAAGGGGTGGAAGCATCAGACGTGTTTCTTTACACCGGTTGTCTATGTTAACCCATCAGTAAAATGTGTACCTGGGTGTTAGTCGACTGGTGTAAGTCGCATCTTGGAACAAAAAACTGACCTAATTTGCCCAAAATGCTCTGCATGACAAGTGGCTTTCTATATAGTAGTATGTCATTGATGTCATCTAGGCCTATATACCATGTATGTACTTGTAAATAAAATTATTTTATTATTATTATTTTATTATTTTATTATTATTTTATTATTTTATTATTATTTTATTATTATTATTTTATTATTATTATTTTATTATTATTTTATTATTATTATTTTATTATTTTATTATTATTATTATTATTGTAAACGGTCAGTATTAGACACTTTCCAAGTTTAAATTTATTCATTAAACTTTTGCCTGAGCCCCTGAAGTTAATATTTACCAAATGTTGACAGTCTGCTAGATAACCACAAATGTGCAATATTTCGAATACCGTACATATATTTTCAGAATGCACGTATCCACATACCTAATTGCTGCTCTAGTATTCTTCCTTTAGGGTGTAGGTAAAATAAGAAGAGCTGAGAAAATATGAAATTACAGATGCAAGACACATTCAGGTGAAATTCTAAAGCTTCCTTTCAAGTGTATAGAACAATAATTAAGAAGATCGATGGTCCACCTAAACTGTTTGCAACTTACTTACAAAAAGAAAGCAGTGTGCTTAATTTTTAAAAATGAATTCATATTGGTTTTCTTATGAAAAGATATATAAATGAAATCCCAGTAACTGATTATTTTTGAGATCCCGAGGAAAAAATTACATTAGTTACTAGAGATGTGGCTATTAAATAATTGCATCAATTAATAAATTCCCTGTTTCTGGTGAACTGTTTTAGAGGGCTCTTCAAGAGTGCAGTCACTGTACTTCCCACCTCCAAGACTAAATTCCACCTAACTGGTTTCCTTGAATCCCTTTATAAATGTTACCTTGCTCACACTCCAACAGCATGTCAAGTCATAAAAACCACTAGCCTCTACTATCCAACATGTTTACACATGCTTGCTGAGTGTCTTAAGTCCCTCACACACAAAACTTCTTTTACTCCCTTCAACCTTTCCCAGGATGACACCTACCCCACCTTCCCTCCTACTGATTTATACACCCTCCAAGTCATGCTATTTTGCCTTATCCTCTTTAAATGTCTGAACCACCTCAACAACCTTTCTTCAGCCCTCGGGCTAATACTTTTAGTAACCCCGCACTTAATCTCCATGCTATGAATTCTTTGCATAACATTCACACCACACATTGCTCTCAGACATGACATCCCCACTGCCTCCAGCCTCCTCCTTGCTGCAACATTCACAACCCATGCTTCACATCCATATAAGAGTGTCAGTACCACTATATTCTTGTACATTTCCCATTTTGTTTGTGGATAACGTTCCATCTCCAAAGATGTCTTGATGCACTGCCTTTTTTTTTTTCTCGATAATTCTGTGGTTTACCTCATCTTTCATAGACCCATCTGCCAACAAGTCCACTGCCAAATATCAGAACATTCACTTCCTCCATACTCCCTCCAATCTTTCATTACCTAAATGTTTTGTTACCCTCATCACCATTCTCTCTGCACTATTAACTTAATTTCCTTCTTTTACATACTCTCCCAAATTCGTCCACCAACCTTTGCAACTTCTCTTCAGAATTGCCCAAAAGCAGAGTGTCATCAAAAAGTAACTGAGACAACTCCCACTTTGTTAGATTCTTTATTTTTCAGTTCCACACTTCTCCCTCCCCCAACACCTTGAATTCACTTCTTACAACCCCTATCTATAAATATGTTAACATCCATGGTGACATCACGCATCCCTATCTAAGTTCTATTTTATTGGAAAACAATCTCCCTCTCTTGTACATACCCTAACCTGAGCCTTGCTATCCTTGTAAAAAATTTTTAACTTATTTCACTAACTTACCACCTATTCCATACACTTGCAAAATCTGCCACATTGCTTCCCTATCCACCCTATCATATGCCTTTTCCAAATTCATAAATAATAATAAAAAAAATTACCATTATCTAAATACTGTTCACTTGTATGCTTCAATGTAAACACAGTCTGCATATCCCCTACCCTTCTTAAAGCCTCCTTGTTCATCTGCAATCCTGCTCTCTGTCTTATCCTTAATTCTTTCAGTAACTACATACACCTTTGCAGGTATACTCAACAGGCTTATTTCCCTATAATTCTTACTCTTTTGCCCCCTTTGCCTTTATACAAAGGAACTGTGCATGCTGTTTGCCAATCCCTAGGTACCTTCCCATTTTAAACATTTATCAGATAAAAGCACCAACCACTCCCAAACTACATCGTCACCTCTTTTTAACATTTCTGTCTTGACCCTATCAGTTCCAGCGCTTTACTATTTTACATTTATATACAGCATTGTAATAATACTTGTGGGGAAAATTGTTGTGGGCCATACAGTGCCTAGGGAAGGGAGGAAGGTAATTAGGGTTCATCTAAGAAAGGACAGGGTAGCCCTTCACCAGCATCAAGGCACCCTTGAAGGGCAGGGGTATGCATACAGTGGACCCCTGAATTTCGTGATTAATCCTTTCCAAAGTCTGCCAAAAGTCAAAATTCATGAATTTCGAAACCATTTTCCCCATAAGAAATAATGTAAATCCAATTTATCCATTCCAGACACTCAAAAGTATTAACAAATTTTTTTTATAGATTAAATATAAATTTGCATACAGAAAAGAATGAGAAATCAAGTTTAAAACAACATCACACTAACCTTTAATGAAGACTCTTGTTGGTGTATGGAAGATGGAAGGAAGGGAGAGGATGGAGAAGTTACACTATTGCTTGGAAGGGGAATCCCTTTCCATAAAGACTTTAGGTACCAAGTCCTTATCTGGGGTTACATCCCCTCTTTGTTTTTTAATGGCACTAGAACCAGCTTGAGTCACTGGACCCCTGTCACAAAAAACCTGTCCAGAGAGGTCTTGCAGCTTACCCTCTACCACCATCACTACCATCCTCTACCACTATTGAAACCACCCTCTACCACCATCACAACTGCTGCCACCCTCTACCACTATCATTACCACCCTCTACCACCACCACTTTTGTATTTTTCTACAAACTTTTTCTTTAATTCTATAGTGTTTCTCACCTTTACCAAAGGGCTGGCACTAGAAGCCTTCTTTGGGCTCATGGTGACTTATTTAGCAGTTGCAAGCACAAAAAAGAATGCATTATTAAGAAATGTATCCTATGAATGTGTGTGGTGATGGTCACTCACCCAGAAACAATGCCACACACTGAATGGTGTGTGGGAGCCTGTGTGTGTGCGCAGCCGCTGGGAGGCCGCTTGGACGCGTTCCGTACGACTGCCGAATTTTGAGGCAAATCGTGAAACTTGAAACTGTACATTGGACCCCTGCCTTACGATATTAATCCGTTCCTGAGAGCTCGTCATATGCCGAAGTTATCGTAAGGCGAATTAATTTTCCCCATAAAAAATAATGGAAATCAAATTAATCCGTGCAAGACACCCCAAAGTATGAAAAAAAAAAATTTACCACATGAAATATTAATTTTAATACACACAAACTGAAGAAGACATGCACAGTTACTACTCTACTAAGAATAGAATACATGACACTTACCTTTATTGAAGATCTGGTGATGATTGATGGGATGGGAGGAGGAGAGTGTGTGGAAGTTATTGTTTAGAAGGGGAATCCCCTTCCATTAGGACTTGAGGTAGCAAGTCCTTTTCCAGGGTTACTTCCCTTCTTTTAATGCCACTAGGACCAGCTTGAGAGTCGCTGGACCTCTGTCGCACAACAAATCTGTCCATAGAGCTCTGTACCTCCCGTTCCTTTAAGATTTGCCTAAAATGGGCCACAACATTGTCATTGTAATAGTCACCAACACGGCTTGCAATAGCTGTGTTAGGGTGATTTTCATCCATAAATGTTTGCACTTCAACCCACTTTGCACACATTTCCTTAATCTTTGAAGTAGGCACAATGGATTCCACAACTGGCATAGGCTTCTCAGGGTTAGCCCCAAACCCTTCAAAATCTTTCTTAATTTTCATACTAATTCTCACCCTTTTTACCACAGGGTTGGCATTAGAAGCTTTCTTGGGGCCCATGGTGACTTATTTTGCAGTTACAAGCACAAAAAATGCTGGGATAAGGTGAAATGTACCGAATGTATGCGTGGATGCGACTGCACTGGCTGGCTTGTAAACACTGGTGCTGAGGCCTCATGTGGGACACGTCCCGGACGAATCATGTAAGGCGAGTTTTTTATCGTGAGGCGAGGCAAAATTTTTGTGTTCAAATGCTTCGTTTGGCAGATTTAACGTAAAGTGATGCATTCGTAAGGCAGGGGTCCTCTGTATTTTGACAAAAATGGTTGCCAATACTTGAAATTCACGAAACTTGGGACTCACAAAATTCGGGGGTCCACTGTATTTAGTTATCCCCAAATTCAGGGCGGTAAAGTTAGGTGCCTTAGACATTCTTCAAATTTTGAATCTGTTAATGTTACAAGGTAAAATTATGTTTACATGATAAATTTCATTCAGATTTTAGCTGATTTTGTTTCCTACTCTTCAAGGGAGGTTTTTTGATGTCAGAGTGAAGGGCTCTAGATCCAAGAAATTGTACTTGTCCCCTTCCTTGGATTGAACCTAATTGCTCATGTTCTAACAATATTGGTTTAGCACTTTCAGAATAAATGTAATACAGTGGAACCTCAACTTACGAGTTTAATCCGTTCCGTGACCTAGCTCGTAACTCAATTTGCTCATATATCAAATAAATTTTCCTCGTTTAAATTAATTGAAGTGCCATTAATTTGTTCCAGCGGAATTCCTGTTCCTGGGAGGCAGGACAAAATACTTCAATATGATGCTAATATCAACTTTGAGGCTTATTTATCTATCACAATTCATCTAATATGACATAATAAACAGTATAAATAACATAGAAACGTGATATATACTTTAGAATGAATAAAATGTCATGTGACTAGTGGTGGCGGCCATTCCCGCTCCCACTCTGATCATATCTTCCCATGCTCTTATCATAAGAGAAAATGGAGTGTTTGTGAGGCTAACTGCAGTAGATCACTGGTTTCATGAGGAAAACACTGAAACAATGTATTTATAAATAAGAAATATTGTTAAAAACATAAAACATAATAGAGAATGTAAATAAATAGTGGTTATATGAAGTGTATGTACACACCTTGGAGCAGAGATGCTTCTCCCTCAACCCACAACCTGCACACCTCGCTTGTTTATCTATGATTTCCTGCTTTAATTCCATGGACATCATTCTCTTTTTCTTCTCAGCACTGTCCTTTGCACTTACTTTCTTAGGATCTATGGTTAGAAAAAGAAATTTGGCAAAATAACTGTACAAAACACAAGTAGAACATGAGAAATGCTTGCACGGCGATGTAAACCTGTGCACAGCTCAGCTGATGTGGCGTTTGCTGCGCCAACTAGTAGTGGCGTTCTGAAGCTCGCTCATTATTATTAATTATAATATTATTAATTTAGGGAACTGGAGCATAGATTCAATTCCTTAGATCAAGAGCCCCTCACCAGCGTCAAGGAACCTTGATGCTGGTGAGGAGCTCGATCTAGGGAATTGGATCTGTGCTCCAGTTCCCTAAATTAATAATAATAATAATACATGTATTATAATTATAATAACTAGGAGGTTCAGAACGCTGCCAACTCAGTGCACTGTTTACCTTGTCGTGGAAGCATTTCTCTCGTCTTTTGCTTGCATTTTGTGCAGTTACGTATTTTGCCAAACTTCTCTTTGCTAACCATGGGTCCTAAGAAAGTAAGTACAAAGGACAGTGCTAAGAAGAGAAAGACAATGTCCTTGGAATTAAGGCATGAAATTCTAGATAAATCCGAGGTGTGCAGGTTGTGGGTTGAGGGGGGCGTGGGGGAAGCTTGCTTGTAACTCGGATGTTGGCTTGTAACTCAGAAAAAAATCGACCTAGTGACGGCTCGTCTCTTATGTTGGGACACTCGTAAGTCGAGGTTTCACCGTAATTTGTTTCAAGAGGACACATCTTTTTATACACTATAATGTTTTAATCTGGTTAATATTGCCATTCATAAGAATGACTAGTCAGAAGAGAGATTTAAATGTGGAATGCCATTGAGTATATTTTGAACTAAATGTATGAATACACCAGCTATCTTGCACCAAGGTAGTGATTCACCATAAAAAATAAAGGAATACCCAGTCATCATTTCATTTAATAGCTGTCATGCCAGAATTGCACAGATATCAATCTAAACTTTCAGACAGCAACATTTCCCTTCTTATACCTAGTGTGCAAAGTACAAGACATGCACCAAGTCCCCTTCAAAAATGGGCACTTTGGGGAAAAACTGAGAACGGTTAATTCTATTAGCTGGTTGCTCATGGATAATCAAATTTTAGTGATATGAAATTCTGCAATTTTGGGGCTCTGACTACCGTACATCTAAATGAGAGCCACTAGAGGGAGTCTGATACAAAAAATTTGACTCCTTTCAGAGATCTTAAATAAATAACAAAAAGGTACAATACTGTGGCTGGAACATTACACAAATAACCTACACATAGAGAGGAGCTTATGACTATGTTTTGGTCTGTCTTTGTAAATTGTCCAAGTCGGACTGAAACATCACCGTAAGCTCCTCTCTCCTATGTGTTGGTTACTTGTGTATCTTAGATAAATATGTATAATTAATAATAAAAAACTTACCAGTCTGCTCAAGGATTAGTGGAGGCCCAATCCACTAACATAGAAAAGCACTACTGAAAAGTTCTCAACACAGTATTAAGTTACCATAACATGTCATACACCACGGGTGGGATTTGAACCCGTGGTCAGAGAGTCTTAAAACTCCAGACCGTCGCGTTAGCCACTGGACCAGCTAGCCACAATAAGATTCGTCCAACTAGGTATATTTCTACACCATAGGAAGGTTAGCATAGGCACCACTGTGACCACAAATGCAAGTTTTTACAGACGAATCTCCTGCTAGAGTGGTCGTGGCGAACTCTAGCTCAAGTCCCCTCACTGCCGTCAACATGACTCACGAAATCGTAATGACACGATTGCAAACAAACCATACCACGGGTGGGATTTCAACCCGCGGTCAGTCTCAAAACTCCAGACCGTCGCATTAGCCACTGGACCAGCTAGCCACAATAAGATTCGTCCAACTAGGTGTATTTCTACACCTCTACGTGGCTAACGCGACGGTCTGGAGTTTTGAGATTCTCTGACCGCGGGTTCAAATCCCGCCCGTGGTATGGTTTGTTTGCAATCGTGTCATTACGATTTCGTGAGTCATGTTGACGGCAGTGAGGGGACTTGAGCTAGAGTTCGCCACGACCACTCTAGCAGGAGATTCGTCTGTAAAAACTTGCACTTGTGGTTACAGTGGTGCCTATGCTAACCAGGACGTCACAGGACTCCATATTACCAGTCAAAGAAGACCAGTCAGTTTGACTAAAGTTAATATCTACTATTATTAAATTATCATGTCTAGAAGCCCTAACAATTTTATCCCAAAGTCTCCCTCTATTACTTTCTAAACCTGGAGGTCTGTATATTACACCTAAAATTAGTTTTTTTTTTTCTTAACCCTTTGAGGGTCGACAGGCCCTCTCCGAAACTCGTTCTCAGGGTCGGCCAAATTTAAAAAAAAAAAAAAAAATTATTTTCTCTTATGAAAAGATAGAGAATCTTTTCCCGATCATAAAGACACCAAAAGTTTGAAATTTGATAGAAAACTTACAGAATTATGCTCTCGCAAAGTTAGCGGTCTCTGCGATGTTTACGCATCGGCGATTTTGCCCACTTTGAGCCCCATTTTCGGCCTATTTCACTGTACTAGTCGACAAAAAACATGAATATTTCCCTAGAACTCCATTTTTTCTATCGAATGGGTGCAAGAAACCACCCATTTATAAATTCAACTATCCAGTACAGTGGTCAGAATTTAGCAATTTTGCCAATTTCACACAAATTTCAAAAGATGCCAATTTCCGAATAGGGTCCAGAATAAACAAGATAGACATTCCTGGCACTAAAATGACATTTCCTCTAGTCATTAGTCATGTCTCAAGGCCCCTCTTATATTCTTTTGCTTTCCACTTTGAATTTTTATTTTCACAAAAAATATAAGATTTACTGTTATGCAGACTACTGCATTAGTGTAAAAAATGGTATAAATATTATTGGTGCACTTGTAAAAGAATATTAGACTCACCAGTTGACGTGTATTGCACGATTGGCACGATTTGTTTACTTTTGAAGTTTGGTAAAAATCGAACATTTCTGCTACTTTGAGCTCAATTTCAAGGCACCTTTCATTGTAAAACCAGTCAAAATCATCTCAATTTCTGTAATATGTCTTCCATTCTATAAAATGAGACCAAGAAAACTAGAATACAACAATAAATACCATACGAAAATACACTGCAAAGTCGCTGATTTATTAAAAAAAAATGGTCAAAGTTATTTTTTTCTCATTATGCACTGTGTGCTGCAGGATTTTTTTTAGACTGTGCACACTGACCACATAGACCCATTCTTTCATATGAAGGCTTACCAGCTTTCTCCCACTAGATTTGAGGCCGCTAGAATTTATGAGTACTAGTACGTCAAAAACCCCTACGCGTAAGACGTACTAGTACGACGAAAACCCTCAAAGGGTTAACTTTCTAGAACGTCTACCTGAGCAGATTCTGTGACTAATACATCTATTAAATTATACCGTGTCTCACACTACCAAATACGTACGTGTATAATTAATTTATTTTATTCCTGTTGTTTCGAGTATTAGTATAAAATATATTAGTTTTTTCTTCTGTACCTTTTTTCTCTTCAGCTTTACTTTTCCTCGGTTTGTTTTCATCATTACCCAGTGTTACTTGATGACTGTTATTCATAAGATTCATGATTGTATCAAAGCCTAAATCAATATTTCCACACATTATTTTCCCTTCCTTAAACCCATACCTCTAACTAATCGTAGTTTAAAGCCCTAATAATACTCTCGACTGAACTACCGAGAATACCTGCACCTGCCCTGGATAAATGAACCTTATCCCTGGCATACGTGTCATTTCTGCCATAGAAGTGGTCCCAGTTGTTAATGAATGGTACTGCATTATCTTTACAGTGTTTGTCCAGCCAACAATCACAGTAAAACTCCGATTTTTGTCCGGTCCGAATGTTGTACAATTTGGATTTCGGCCACT